TAGTTCTGTTATCTTGTTAATCACAGTTGATTTCCCAGTCCCAGCTAACCAGAACCAAAGATCTTAACTCAAAATAACAAAAGACCCTAATAGAGCCTTTAAATTTCCCTCTGAAATTTCAAAAGCCTGGCCTCCATCCTCTGTACTGATCTTAACATTTTTTTAATTAACTAATTTTTTTTAAAAAAAAACCCTATCTTTTCTCATTTTACATATCAATCCCAGTTGCCATTCCCTTCCCACTGCACATCCAAGCCTCAGAGAGAGTAAGGCTTCCCATGGAAAGTCAAAGTCTAGCACATTGCTTTGAGGCAGGATCAAGGCCCTTCCCACTATATCTAGGCTAAGCAAGGTGTCCCTCCAAAGAGAATGGGTTCCAAAAAGTCAGTACAAGCAGTAGGGATGAATCTTGATCAAGAGCAAAGAAGTCTCTTAGTTTCTGCTGTACATCTATCGGACTTCCTGGTTTTCATGGTTTCCATAGAGAAGTCAGGTATAAGTCTGATAGGTTTACCTTTATAAGTTACTTGACCTTTTTCCTTTGCAGTTCTTAATATTCTTTCTTTATTCTTTATGTTTTGTGTTTTGAATATTATATGGTGAGGGGATTTTTTTTTTCCAATCCAGTCTATTTGGTGTTCTGTATGCTTCATAGGAATATCTTTCTTTAGGTTGGGGAAATTTTCTACTATAATTTTATTGAATATATTTTCTGGGCCTTTGAACTGTAATTCTCCTTCATCTACCCCTATTATTAGGTTTGGTCTTTTTATTGCGTCCCAGATTTCCTGGATGTTTTGTGATGAGAATTTGTTGGATTTGCTGTTTTCTTTGATCAGTGTGTTTATTTTTTCTATGGTGTCTTCAGAATCTGAGATTTTCTTCTATCTCTTGTATTCTGTTGATTATGCATGTTTCTGTAGTCTCTGATCGTTTCCCTAGATTTTCCATATCCAGTCAGCCCTCAGTTTGTGTTTTCTTCATTGCCTCCATTTCAGTTTTCAAATCTTGAACTGTTTCCATTATCTGTTTGATTGTTTTTTCTTGGTTTCCAATGATATCATTTACGGATTTATTCATTTCTTCAAACTTTTTGTTATCCTTCTCATCCATTTCTTTAAGGGAGTTTTTCACCTCCTGTTTAAGGGACTCTATCACTTTCATAAAGTCAATATTTTCTACTTCTTCTTGATTAGGGTGTTCAAGTCCTCCTGTTGTAAGTTCGCTGGGTTATGGTGTTTTCATGTTGTTTTTCAGATTGTTGGAGGAATTCTTGCATGGGCGCCTGCCCATCTCTTCCTCCAAATGCTCCCCGATGGATCTTCTGGTACAGGATCAGGTCCCCTTGCTGGCCTGGGACCTCACAGACAAAAGGCCTACCTTGCTTCAGGCAGGCTATTGAAACAAAGGAACTTCCACCCAGTTGCGCTCACCACCCCATCCCAGTGCCCAAGCGGGCTGAGCTGGGGGATCTTATGGTCCCGAAGAAGGGAGGAAGAAGGGAGGAGGGCACTTAACATTCTTAACATCTAAGCTCCTAAAGAATATCCCACAGAGCTCCTAAAACTCAATGGTTCTTCTAGTCTGAAGTTTCAAAGTTCTACAATCCCTCCTAAAACATGGCCTGTCACAATAATACCCCACTATGCTAGTACCAATTTGTCTTAATTAGGGTTCCTGTTGTTGTGGCAAAACATCCTAACCAAAAAGCAAGTTGGGGAAAAAGGGTTTATTTAACTTACACTCAGCATTGCTGTTTATCACTGAAGGAAATCAGGACAAGAACTCAAACAGGGCAGGATCCTGGAGGCAAGAGTTGATGCAGAGGCCATGGAGGGGAGCTGCTTACTGGCTTGCTTCCCCTGGCCTGCTCAGCCCACCATCTCATAGAATCCAAGGACCATCAGCCAAGGGATGGCACCACCCACCATGGGCTGGGTCCTCCCCTGTTGATCACTAAATGACAAAATGCCTTACAGCTGGATCTCAAGGAGGCATTTCCTCAGTTGAGTCTCTTATCTCTCTTATGACTCTAGCTTGTGTAAGGTTGATACCAAAAAAAAAATCATTCAGTACAATGATTCTTCTTTTATGTCTCTGAGAATACAAAGATGTTGTGGCATATTCTGTTTGAGCCATGAATCAGGAATAGAAGTATAAACCTGCAGGTCAGAGCCCATTTCCCAAATCTCCACTTTAAAATACTGCAGCTTTAGGGTAGGGGAGTAGAGCCATGGCTGCCACTGACTAGAACTGACTAGAGCAAAGCCATTATGAGGATTCTTCTTTCTGCATCAAATGTGATAGCTGATGCACATCAATTAGTCAATGTCCTCAAGACATTATGAGTCCCAGCCAGAAAAAAAAGGACTGCAAAATGGGATCCTGTTTGTGGGGAAAAACAAAACAAAACAAACAAAAAATAAAAACTTATTTCTCCTGTTCAGGAAGTTACCACTGAGCATCCTAAGCATGTGAATGATGTGAACAGCAACTCTTCTGAAAGAGTTATGAAGTTATCAACAAACGAAAGGGCACATCATCACTGTACATCATCACATACAAGTAGACTAGCATCTAAATATACACACAAGAACAACAATTTCATACATACACCTGACATGTTCAACACCCTATAGTATGTTTAAATGTTTAGTATTTGGAATCAAGTCTTACTTAGTATTATGATCCAAGATATAAGCCTCTTAACTCCACATATTTCTAAAATGTTGTTCCAACTTGTCCATGTGTTTCGTTATGCACTTTTATAACCATGACTCAAGGAAATAAGAAATAGAACCTACATGACACATAAATCCTGAATCAGCAATTTATAAGGATACAGTCCATCCTCTATAGCAGTTGGGCATCAATATTATTTATGGCCATGTGTTACATGGAAATGTCTTCAAAATTACATGTTATAAGTGTATATGGGATATTTGCCACCACTCCCCTCCCCGAATCTTGGGAGAGGAGAATAGAGGTAAATGCTACAGAAGATGTAGAAGTATGGAATTATATTGTATAGCTGTAGTCATAAAGAGAGTCTGGTATGGGAATAAACATAGACAGGAGGATAACAGAATGGGATCGAGAACCCGGAAAGAAAACCATTAATCCATGCCCATTTAATATTTGGCAAAGAAGGAAAAGATACATTAGAAAAATATGGTCTTTCCAACAAATGGTGCTTGCAAAACTAGATTCAGCAGAAGAGTATATAGATTCTCGGTCTTTCACATTGTACAAAAATTCATGCAAAATGGACCAAAAACCTAATTTAAAACCAGACACAAAGAATCTTAGAAAACAGAGAATACAAATCAGCATATTGAGTTGGACAAGGACTTATAAATTAGGAAGAACACCAAGAGTACAGGAACTAAGTCAAGTATCAATAGCTGGAACTACATGAAAATAGTTTCTGTTTATCAATAAAAACAATCAGCAAAGCACAACAGACACCCCACAGGATGGGAGAGAATCTATACCAGCAATACTCTGAATAGGGGCTCCTATATAGAATTTATTAAGAATTACAAAAATTAAATACCACAGACATAAAACTTCCAGTCAACAAATGGGGAAACGAACTGAATAGACACTTTTCAAAGACAGAAACACAAATGATCCTAGGGTCGCTAAACTGCCACCAGAGAAAAGTAAACAAAAACTACTTTGAAATACTTCTTCACTCCAGACAGAATGGCTGTCATCAACTAATCTCACAACAAATGTTGGAGAGGATGAGCAGAGAGTGTAATTAACTGAGTACCAAGCCCAAACCCAATGAGAGAATGACCTCCAGATGATACGGCCTCAACAGTTTATTATCTGGTGGACTCTGGCACTTCTACTCTGGAGATAAATGCACTCCATCTGCAGAGAACATCTGTCTTTTACGTAAATTTTGTTTATGAACAAGCAAGAGCAAGGAGGCACAGGAAAAGGAGTTAGCTTGAGCTATATCACAAAACTGTTTAGGAATTTAAAATAACAGATATGACTCCAGCTGTGACCCAGATTGAGCAATTTCATATGTAATCCCTTTCCTGTGTGAGCCAGTTTGAAGGACTTTGGACGTTAGCACCTTCTTTACAACACACTAAACCTAGGTAAAGAACAATTCATCCCTTGGGTTGATTTTCTTTATTTTAGAGAAGACATTTTTCTCCTAGTTCACATCAACAGGAAGTTTTATCCATTGTTGGTGTGGGTGGGAGGGTGGTGCAAATTAGCACACTCAAATCAGTTTGAAGGTTATTAACAAATTAAAGATAGAACTAACTTAAGTCCCAGCTTCACACCCCACTATAGAGATATTCACACCCCATGGTCAATGCTGTATGCACAATACCAAAGAATTGTAATCAACCTAATTGTCTATCCACAGATGAATGGATGGTGAAAATGGTAATACTAGTCAGCTGAAATGTATAATAAAAATTTGCAGGAAAACATGGATTCATAATGTTTGGAGTAACATCATATAGTATTAGAAAAAAGAAACTATGTTTTCCTTCATATGTAGAATCTAGCCATTAATATGTATATTTGGGAAACAACATGCACGTGGGCAGAGTAGAATATGGAGAAAAGAGAACAAGAAAGGTTAAATACCAGTGTTGATGTAAGACTGATAGCAGATAATCAAAGTCAGTTAGGAAAGAAGATACAAAGCTAAGTGCTTTTCTAGCTCTAATGTCACAAGGTTTTTTTGGGTTTTGATGGTAGATAAATAGATCAAAATATACTGAATATTGAAACTATAAAATCCCATGTGAGGCTCCAGAGCTTCTGTTCCTGATAATTACTCTAACTATATAAAAATACATTGATGTGTAAAGTCTTTGAGCCTGGTAAATTTCAGCATGTAATTTTGTTTGTTCACAATGTTTTTCATAATAAAGTTAGAAAAATCAGCAGCAGAAAATTAAAAGCTTTCAATGTCCCATGCTATAACACTTCTACCAAGAACAGGGGACATGACCACTGACCTGGAACAGATTAACTGGAGAATCAGCCATTTCTTTCAGTTTATTTTCTGTGAGTTTCTCTTTCAGGAACAATGAATAGATGGCTTGCTGACCTTTCATATTAAGGGATCAAAAACAAAAAGCAAAAATTAGTAATAAAAGCTGTAAGAGAAGAATGTCAAACCACATGAAAAGACCCAAGCAACAGAATTCTACCAGGTGTCTTGTCAAGAATCCCAAAGCCAGGAGAACATGCAACATTTGCAGCTTGAACAGAAAATCACCATCAAGAAGAGTGCTGCACAAAGAAAAACTCTACCTCAAAACTGATGGAGACATGAGTGCATTTTAAGACAGTCACTGATTAACACAGCTCATTTTACCAAAGCAACACTGTAGATAATAAATCAGAGGCAAAACATATACAGGAGAGTCAAATAGAAAGAAAATCACTTCCAATATAATCCAACCAGCAACAACATAAAAAACAGAACCATAGGGAAGAAGAACCCTAAAAACAAACAAAAAAATCTAGCCACTCTGGAAACCAATATGGAGAATTCTGAAAAAGTTAGAGAAATCTAGCACATGACCCAGGTGTACCACTCCTTGGCATATGCTCAATGGACTTGACATGCTATTCTACAGATATTTGCTCACCTATTTTCATTGCTGCTCTACTCACAGTAGCTACAAAAGGGAGACAACCTAAATGTCCTTCAACTGAAAAATGGGTAATGGAAATATGATACACATAACCTTTGGAATATTGTTCAGGGATAACGAAAATTGAAACCATGAGCTTTGCAGGTAAATGGATGAGCCTAGATAAGATCATATTGAATGGAGTAACCCAGACAAAGAAAGGCAGAAATTGCACGATCTTTCCCATAGGCAGTTCCTAAGTCCACATCTTCAGATGTGAGTATAACCTGTAGAATACAGTAAAAAATAAACAAAAACTGTGGGGGGGGGTGGGGAATAGTAGGAAACAAGTGATCTAAAGAGGGAAATGGAAAAACAGATTTAATTATGGTGAAGGGACAGATATTAACAAAGAAGAAGAAGGATAAAATAACAGTAAGATTTCGGAAAAAGTCGTAAGGCATAACAGTATTGTCCATCTCCCAAAAATGACTATAATAAATATTAGTCTGTTCAGGCATATACATTCATAGTGTAGACAAAAATTTCCCATCTAGGCTGATAATGCTCCCATAAGATATTTTCTAACAAAACCACCCCCACAAGGTATGAGAAGCCTGTAAACCTCCTTCCTGGGCATTAGCTTTCATGGTACCAGATGGCAACATGCAAGTTTTCAAAGTAGAGAGCCAACCAACAGTCCTACTCAGCTGTGACACCTATGAACCACACTGCACGATAACCCCAAGGATGCACAAGTAATACACATACCTTAGTGGTAACCAACAGCTTCTAATTAGACTTAAGACCCTCTCAACAAGGGAGAAATCATGCCTAGTACTGGAAACCTAGCTAGTTTCACTAATGCCAGGGAAGCCAAGGATTTTGGAGGAGAACCGACAACCACAATTTTACCAAATCAGCATAACCACTAATTTCTTTCTAAATATTTACCTTTATTATTATTATTATTATTATTATTACTACTACTGACAGGGTTTCTCAGTAGCTAAAGAGTTAGTCCTGGAACTCATTCTGTAGACCAGGCTGGCCTTGAACTCAGGTATCCGCCTGCCTCTGCCTTTGTTGGGATTAAAGGTGTGCACCACCTCCACCCGGTTATCCTTATTCCCACAGATAAATGTAGTCCTCACTCTTCATCAGTGAAAGTTTGTTATGCAACACAAGGACAAATAGTCAGGCAAAATGTACACTTGTGATGTTCACTCCCCACTGACAAGTAACCAACACAATTCCTGCACCTCAGGCTCAGGGATCACTGAGAAAGTGGGGTGGGAACATTTTAAGAGTCAGACGAAAAGGATGTTTGCTGTGAGATTGTGTCTCCTAGAAATGTCAGAGAGGCTACATGCATGAACTTGAACAAACATGGCTGCCTAAACATGAGCAGAACAAGGACAACACCAAGAGACATGCTAACATGGAACGAGAACGCTCACTAGGCCTAAACCCTAGTCAAACACAAAGGAATTCTGAGAGCTGGAGAAATAGTCTCCCCCAGAGAAGAGTGCACCATATGGTTATCCAATACCAAATGTTCATCCTTGAAAATATACAGACTGAGTAGGTTATATTTTTATGTTTGGGAATACACACAAACATACAGCAACAATGAAAGGAAAAGTTACTAATAAATAATAAATGCCTGTGTATCACCGAATCTTCATCCAGTAACTGAAGGAAGCAGATGCATAGACCCACAACTAAGCTATGAGCCGAGCTCCTGGAGTCCAATCGTAGAGAGGGAGGAGTGATAATATGAGCAAAGGGGTCAAGACCATGATGGAGAAACCCACAGAAACAGCTGACCCAAGCTAATGGGAGTTTACTGACTCCAGACTGACAGCTGGGGAACCTGCACAGGATTGAACTCGGCCCTATGGATGTGAGTGACAGGCTTGGGCAGTTTACAGGGCCACTGGCAGTGGAGCCAGGATTCATCCCTAGTGTATGACCTAGTTTTTTGGAGCCCATTCCCTATGGAGGGTACCTGGTTCAACCTAGATACAGGGGGAAGGGTCTTGGTCCTGCTTCAAATGATGTGACAGACTTTGTTGACTCAGCATGGGAGGCCTCAAACTCTCTGAGGAGTAGATGGGGGTGGGGTGGGAGGAAAGTGCTCCAGAGGAGCAGGAGAAGAAGAGGGAGAGGGAACCGGAATTGGTATGTAAAATAAAATGATTGTCTCTTAAAAATTTCAAAAACAACAAATGGCTATATAAAGGGAAGATTTTGTATCATTTAGATTAAAATATTCTCTATTATCACTACTCACATAATTAGACTTAATAGAAGGCTAGAAAGAAGGCTCAATGGTTACAAGCGCCTGTTGTTCTTGCAGAGAACCAGGTTCAAATCCCAGACCCCACACAATAGCTCTCATCTCTCCATAACTACAATTCTAGGATGCACATGATACAGTCACACACACAAGCAAACACTTGTATACATAAAGTATATGAACCGAAATAAAAATGAGTACTAAATAATAACTAGTGAGAGAGAGAGAGAGAGAGAGAGAGAGAGAGAGAGAGAGAGAGAGGACTCCTAGAATTAACTTACAAAACAGATGAAAGCTTCCAATTTGAAAACTTTGCTGAAAAAACTAAAGATACTAACTAGACAAAATAGTGAAATTCTCAATATTTCTGGAAGTGGTTTATATGATCAGCTCAAACTTCAGGACATTTAAACGTCTTCAACCCTAGTCAAACACAGAAATACTAAGAGAAACTAAGAGAAAATTCGTATTGATGCACAAATTCCCTGGGTACAGAGCATCCCCAAGATAATTTTACAATGCTGGAGCTAGCCCCCTGTGATTCCAGATGACATTACAGAAAGCCACATAACCAACAGCATTATGGGAGTGGAGAAGACACACATTTCAATGTATTAGAGCAGTAGTTCTATAAAATGGCCAAAAGCAATGATCCTGTCAATGTCACCAAAGTACCACAAACACATGTAGCAGACTAGATGGCCTCTTTAAACAGAAGTATTGGGAAAAGTTATCTATCTGCATATAGAAACAAAAACCTGAGTTCAAATCTCTCCTACCATGCAAGAAATCAGAGCCTTCATGTATAATCTGAAACAGTGAATTCTGCAGAACAACACAAAGGGGCAAACTTTAAACAAGAGCAGGAACTGACAAATAGAATTGTGTAAAATTAAAAGCATCCAGGGAAATTGTAATAATTAAAGTTTGAAGAGACAGCCTACACAGCAGATATGTTTATTAGCTACATATTTATACTACAATGGATAAAAACCCAGAATCAAAAAAATTACAAAGAAAGCAAATGATAATATGACTGGTAAATAAACAAATAGATTGAACACACCATGCTCAACAGCAGTTGAAATGGTCAATTTCCTTAAAGTACATATTAAAAAGATCTATATTGTAGGTCATAAATAATGTAAATTAAATATGAAGAAGTTCCAATTCTCTATTTAGTGTCCACATTCTCGAGTTCCTAAACTATAATGTATTTCACTAATTTCCTGAAATGTAAATTATTCAAACAAATGATGTAAAAAGACTATAGCATTCAAAAAAAGAGATATGACAGCTGAAATTAAAACATACTTTCCACCAAAGATTTATTACATGTCTAACCAAAGATTTATTTCATATCTAAAGATCTAAGATATGGAGGAAAAAGGAATTTTTTTAATGTCATAAATAAGGGCGGCAGTAAGGAAGACCGATGATCATAAGTAAAATAATGATAGAAAAATCAAGGCAAAAACTGAAGACAAGGAGTGGATACCAGTCACCAACCCAGGCTGCCTGGCTAAGGACACAAAGATCAAGTCCATGAAGAGATCTACCTGTTCTCCTTGCCCATTAAGGAATCTGAGATTACTGACTTTATCCTGGGCACATCAATAAAGGATGAGGTTCAAAAAATCATGTCAGTGCAGAAGCAGATGGGCTGGCTAGTGGAACAGGTTCAAAGTTTTTGTCACTATTGGGGACTATAATAGTCATGCTGGTCCTGGTGTTAAGTACTCCATAAAGACAGTCACTGGTATTCCAGGGGTCACCATCTTGGCCAAGCTTTCCATTGCCCCTATATGGAGAGGTACTAGGGGAACAAGACTGGCAAGTCCCACACCATTCTGTAAAAAAGTGACAGGTATCTGTGGCTCTGTGATGGTGCCTCTCACCACTGCCCCCAGAGGCTGGCAATCTCTGCTCTTATTAAGCCCAAGAAGCTACTGATGATGGCTGGTACTAATGACTGCTATACACTGGCCAGGAGTTACACTGCCACCCCGAACAACTTTGCCAACTCCATCTTTGATCCCATCTCTAAGACCTGCATCTACCTGACCCCTGGCCTCTGGGAAAAGACTATGTTCCCCAAGTCTCCTTATTAGAAATTCACTGACCAACATGTGAAAATCCACACCACAGTCTCAGAGATTCAGAGGAACCAGGTACACCACGTAATGTTTTTAATACAAAAAAAATAAAGTGAATTATGTCTGTTTAAAACAACTCAAAATCGTGTTAAAATGGACCATTAGATAGAAAGTTCTTTGATCAACATGGGTGCATGACACAAAACCCAGAATGCAGACATCAACAGCAGACAAAAAAATAGGAGAATACATAAAACAGGTGAAAACTGGCACACTGCCTCATGTTCTTTTCCAACACAAAAAGACAAGGAAGTCTGCCTTCTCTCAGTCTCCAAGCAATTCCTATAACAATCCTATTGCATATTTTACAGAAAGTAATCCTGGAAGTGTCAAGGAAGAGAAAAGCTGTAAAAATACTAAAAGGATCAAACTTAGAGGTGATCTCACAGTATATTACAATTACAGCAATGGAAACCACTTGGAGCTGTCATGACAACAGACAGTGGCAGATATCCATGGGAAGAGAGCACAGATGGAGTTCAACAGTCTGTAAATATACTTCCTGATTCTTATCAAAATTCTGCTGGCATCATTTTCAGGAACAGACATTAACACTAACAGGTAAAGAATGTGCTAGAACACCAAAAGTTTCAAGATTCTGAAAAAAAGGAATAAATCTAGAAGTCATAATTTTGATCATTTTGTAATACATTACAATCACAGACATGAAAACCAATTAATATTGGTATGATGACATGATCAGTCATGTGAATGGAGTAAGGACAGCATCACTCACGTGATCGTCAAATACAACTTTATTTACCTCCTAGTGTCAATTCTTCCTCAGAACCTCTTTCTACACCGACAACAGGATAATCCTAAGGAAATTTTTCTCAGCGGAAGCCTCCAGAATTATTTCCAGTGAAAGAGAATGTGACAAAATTGATTTCATGTCCCACATCCACATTCACTTGAATACCTTGCCATCCCTTCACCAATCCCTCCACCATACCTGGATCCTTAACCACTGCCTCCTCCTGCTCCATCTTCCAGGGTTCTGTGTTCTCCACAGGTGATCGGGTCTGGGTGATCAGTGAGCCCTGCAAGTGACAAAGAGATCGTTCAGGCTGTCCGTAGATGTCTAACACAGTACTGGACACAGTAGATAAAGAGAAAATGAAACATGACTATGCAAATGATTCCCCAATTGTCCTGCAGTGTCAGAATACTGAGAATATTTAGAAAGCATTTTCAGTTAGTGCCACTTGAATCCCACTTTTAGTCACATCTCAGTCAAATCTGAGGGGTAGAAATGGGAATAAACAACTGGAATGTGAATATATACACTAATAAGGTTCTGAATTAATCATGAACCAAAACTGGTGGAAGCCTCACACCTCCCAAAGGGACTCACAAGACAAGAGAACACTTCATGAAATTTGTCTTTGTTCCTCTAAGGATTTCACTTTACTCCATGAGCCTCATTCACACTTGCAGACTGGTCTGTCAAGACACCCTGAGGAGGATCAAGAGAGATGCAAGCAGATAATTCTCACCCTTAGAAACCATACTGCTGCAATTCTGCAACATCCAATCCCAGTACAAAGCCCTCTGAGCAGGCTCCAGGCATTGACCCTCCTCCTTGGAGAAGTTCACAGTCACACCACCGGCTGTCAACAGACCACAAAAAAACTAAAACAAAACAAAAACAAATCAACAGTTTGAACTATCCTGTTAGTGGGAGAAAGAGGTGGGTGGAATTCTGAATCTGTTCTAGTTCAGCCTGGTCTATAAGGTGAGTTCTTGGCCAGACAGAGCAATATAAGAACAACAACAACAAAAAAGCTTAGTCATGTGTCCATGGAAAAAGTACTTTTCTTGATCCGAGCAGACAAAAGACTATATTAATTATTCAAAATGATTTTTTAACAATTGTCCTATAATGCTTGTTCCTTCCTTTCCTTTTTTTTTGGGAGGGGGGGCGGTTAAGACAGGGTTTCTTTGTATAGCTATTACTGTCCTTAAACTTGCTTTGCATACCAGGCTGGCAATGCAATCAAGAGTTCCACCCACTTCTCCCTCCCTAGTGCTGGGATTAAGGGCACGTGCCACCAGCATCTGCTTTACAATGGCTTTTCTAATTGTGGAAACAGTGTGAGCTGATACCCTCAAACAGCATACTTTGCTTTCTGGACTCTACTAGCAACATTCAGAACTCAGGACAAGAAGACGTATTCCATTTTTGTTGTTGTTTTCTTTTTTGAGACAGGTTGTCACCATGTAGCTATAGAAGTTCTGGAGCTAGGGCTGGCCTCAAACTTACTGAGATCCACCTGCCTGTGCCTCTAGAGCTCTGGTATTCAAGGCCTGTGCCAAAAGGTCTGGCAAAGACACTTTTAGAATGCTCTATTTGCATCACATAGTGCATAGGTTTCTGATGAAAAATTAATAATAGGTAAAACATTTTACTTGTACTTTTACATTTACTTTTAAATGTTAATGTTCACAATCATAACTGCGGGCCTCGCAACTATCTATAGACAGATAGATATAGATATTATATATATCTTGGAACCAGCCAAATCGACAACTATCCCTTTCATGAATAATATCTAAAACCTCTCCGGGGATGTCAATTCCCCAAGTACATGTACCACTCTCTTGACTAGGTAAGCAGTTTAACACGGAAGTTTGCATGATGAATGTGAATTTCAAGAGCTTTGTCTTATCCACAATAGCAAAAACAAAAACAAAAACAAACCCACACACAAAACAAAAATTCCCTGCATTTTCAACTAGCAACAGATAAATTCAAATATTCTACTATATTATTTTTATAAGAATATTTTGGCAATCAGAAGATCAATTTAAAAAAAAAAAACAGGCTTATTTCACATGATCTAAAATACACCACGGGTAAGACATCCACAGCAGAATTTCAGAGCCGGCTTCCTTATGAGCATCAGAGAAACAGCTCGCAGCTCTGGTCCTTCCCTCCTGGGTCGCAGCCCAGCGGCTTCTCTGAACTGGGAGGTTCCAGGGCCGCCAGGCTGCGGTTCCCCCCAGGGCTGACGGTTGACTTTTCCCAGGCTGCCCTGCGGCGACTGCCGCTCCGGGAAGTTTTCGCGCCCCCGCGGCACCCCGTCGTGTACTCCGCACCCAGGTCTGCACCACGCGGTCCCCCACTGTGCAGATCTCCGAGCAACAACTGGGAATACGTACTCGTCACTTCTGTCTTTTGCTCCTCCGTATAACTTACCCGATCTCAGCAATCCTTCCCAGCTTCAATCAGATCTCTCCGCTAACCCCGCCCGGCGTGCACTTCCCCTACCCCTGACCAATGGCAGATGACTTCCTCCAAGCGCCTTTTCCGGTTGAGTGTCCCAGCCCTACTCTGACTGGTCTCTCTTCCTGCGTCTCAGGCTGCCTTTCACACAGCTCCAGCCCTCAGGATTCCCTGGTCTATCTCTGCACAGCCTCCCTACATGCTTGCTGTCAACCTAGACCAGAACTGTGTCCAGGAGGACGCTACATCCCCCTACTTCACCATTTTATCCCGAGTTTGACCATTTCGGATTAAAATTGTTCAGTCTAATACCTCATTTTGGGAGTTAATTCCTGGCCTGTAAACTCATAGAACAATCACCCCAAATCCTTATGCTGAGCTGCCATAGTCCAAACACAAACTAAGATGAAATATTGCTGCCCCAAATTACCATTTCAATAGCTTTGTCCTCTAAGGAGACCAAAGTATATGAAATATGAGAGATAGAACAGACACACCGGAAGTATATTCAATGAGGTCAAAGTACATAGTTGAAGAAAGCCTCTGATGTCAAAGGGGACAGGAACAAAGAAAATGACTTAAGAAAAAGCAAACACAAGCAAATGGCTTGTCCTGGAATAACAAAGACAAATTCAGGCTATGAAAATTCAATTCAATAAGGAGTTAGAAACACCAAAGAAAATTCAAATGAAAATGAAAAAAGAACTGAACAATATATAATAATCATAATAGTAAATCAACGAAAAACCTCGCCAGGGGAATAGATCAACTAGGAGACAGAAAGTCAGGACTTGTAGACAAGGTAAGAGAATCTGCATCACTCTGTCAAACGAAATGATAAATTTAAAAAATAGACACTCCATGCATGTAGCACTAGTAAAATGTAAAAGTGAAATTCCAGCTGCGTCTTCTACATTGTATTGCAGAACTGTCATCTTGGAGAGTATTCCTGGGAAGCTGGATAAACATTTCATTCATGCTACAAATGAAGTGACACTAAGAACCACCTTTATCCCACCCTCACAGTTCCCCACTATTAACAGTCAAATATCTGGAATTCCATGGTTAGCCACATCAACTTTAGGTGGGGAAGACATTTCAGAAACACTGGATTTCGAAAGGAAATAGGTGTCTCTGTAAGTTGCTTGACTAAACACTGCCTGATTTTAGTGGAATTGCTTTGAGTTTCCCTCCATTTTATTTGATGTTGGCTGATGGCTTGCTGAATTTGCTTTTATTGTGTAGGTATATCTTGATATCCCTGATCTCTCCAAGACCTTTATCATGAAGGAGTGTTGAATTTGGTCAAAGACTTTTTCAGCATCTAATAAGATGATCATTTATTTTTTTCTTTCAGTTTGTTTATAGGGTGTATTACATTGACTGATTTTCATATGTTGAACCATCCCAGCATCTCTGGGTTAAAGACCTCTTGATTGTGATGGATGACATTTTTTTTATGTGTTCTTGAATTCCATTTGTATTTTATTGGGTATTTTTGCATCAGTGTTCATGACTGAGATTGGTATGATAATTCTCTTTCATCATTGAGTCTTTGAGTGGTTTAGGTATCAGGATTACTGTGGCCTCATAGAAAGAATTTGGGTAATGCTTTTTTCTATTTCAATTTTGTGGAATAATTTGAGGAATATTTGTATTAGCTCATCTTTAAAAGTACAGTAGAATCCTGTGCTAAAACCATATGATTCTGGGCTTTTTTTTTTTTAACTGGGAGACTTATCATGGCTGCTTCTGTTTCCTTAGGGGTTCTAAGTCTATTTAAATTATATAGCTGAACAGCTTGAACACTGGCTCAGCGGCTAAGAGTGCCTAATGCTCCTATTGTGCCAGAGGACCCGGGTTTGAGTCCCGCCTGGCGCTAATAGCGATTGATAAGTGATCAATACCGAATCCCTATCGATTAATAATCGGGGGAAAAAAAGCCGGGCAGTGGTGGTACACGCCTTTAATCCCAGCACTCGGGAGGCAGAGGTAGGCGGATCTCTGTGAGTTCGAGGCCAGCCTGGGCTACAAGATCTAGTTCCAGGACAGACCCTAAAGCTACAGAGAAACCCTGTCTCAAAAACCCAAAATAAATAAATAAATAAATAAATAAATAAATAAATAAATAAATAAATTGTATAGCTGACTGGGCAGTGTTTCTGCACACCTTTAATCCCACCACTCCGGAGGCAGAGGCAGGTGTTCGAGGCTAACTTGATCTACAAGAGATAGTTCCAGGATAGGATCCAAACTACAGAGAAACCCTGTCTCAAAAAAATCAAATAATAATAATAATAACAATAATGTTTAACTTATCTTGTTTTAACTTTGGTAAGTGGCTTCTATAAAGAAAATTGTCCATTACCTTTAGTTTTTCAATTTTTCTTGAGTACAAGTTTTGAAGTATGATCTAATTTATCTCTAGATTTCCTTGGTGTCTGGTGTAATGTCCCCTTTTCTTTTCTGGTTTTATTAATTTGAATATTTTCTTTCTGCCTTTTTGTTGTATGATATTTTGATTTCATTCTGAAAATAAAGCTTGTTTTGAGTAAGAGGGCAGAGATAACCACTAGCTGGCCACAATTAAGTATAGAGGTATGCAGGGCTGTGGTCAGACATGAAAAATGAAGTAGTAAGGTAGGGCAGGGGGAAATATCATCCCTTTGTGGAGGAAGAAATGAAAGAGGAAAGAAGTCACTGGTGGCTGCTCTCCTAATCTTTCATGTTCTTACCCTAATACCTGACTCCCAATTTTTTTATTGAAAAAGAATAAATAGATAAATGCTTCACACAGTGCTCAACATGGGGCACGAAATCTCAAGATAGCCAGGTGCCCTTGACTTTGCAGTCACCGGGAGCCATGCCTGCCAGTGCCAACACCTGTAGGCTGCCTTGGTTCCCAGAGCTCATGATTGCTCACAACCACCTGTAGCTACAGTTTTATAGGATTAAATATCTTCTGGCTGTGCACAGGCATCTCACATGCATGAAATATAAAATACATACAAGTTTGCTAGCACACATAATAAAAGTAACTAAATTAGAAAAATATTTGGAGTTCGTTTTTAGTTTGTACACCTTGACATCTACTTCCAATTTAAACCATATCAACTGCAACAATGGAAATGGAACATCAAAATATGAGTGGGAATATATGCCACTGAGTTTCTGAATGTATCATGGAACCAAAAAGGAAAGATTCATGATATCTCAAAATGGAAAAAGATAAAGGAAATGCAAATACCATGAGAAGTTATTTTCTACTACCAGAATTTCCCTAATCTCCAATAGTCTCTAAGACAGTGTCTCAGAGTTTACAACCTACAAAGCAGGTGGGATCCTACAAGCAAAGTATTCTTACCCACGGAGAGCAGGTTACTGTAGTTCTCCAACATCACATTAGAGTACAAAGCCCTCTGAACAGAGGCATTCCCACCCTTCAACAACTCCACAGCCCTGAATGTCAAACAGATCCTGAAAAAAAAGCTATAGTTTTTTTCCCAGGAAAGGGCTCTGTGGGGGCAGAGCCCTTTCCTGGATAAGGAAAACAAAGGAAACCGGGTGGTGGTGGCACACGCCTTTAATCCCAGCACTTAGGCAGCAGAGGTGGGTGGATCTCTGTGAGTTTGAGGCCAGCCTGGCCTACAAGAGCTAATTCCAGGATAGGCTCCAAAGCTACAGGGAAACCCTGTCTCAAAAAATAAGAAAAATAAGAAAGAGAGAGAGAGAGAGAAAGATAGAGAGAGAGAGAGAGAGAGAGAGAGAGAGAGAGAGAAAACATAAGGTAATTAAGGATAGTTTTGTGATGTAGATGAAGCGTGACAATTGCTAAGTGAGATGCAGTCTAGAGGGGCTACAGCAATGGCTTTATAATTAAGAATATGTTAGCACCAGGCAACAGCTATGCTTGTGGTACACAGACATACTTCGAGTCAAAAAACTGCATGCTATGTAGTAATCCTGTAGATATGTCAGTATGATTGGTTTAACAAACAAGCTGACTGGCCAGTAGTTAAACAGGATAAAGTTAGGTGGGAAAGTCAAACAGAGACTGATGGGATGAGGGAGGGCAGAATCAAAGGAGAAACCAGCGTGGCTAAGAAAGGAGGATGTGTACAAAATGAAGTAACAAAAAATGAGCTACATGACAGCAATACATGGATAGAAATTGATTAATTTAAGTTATAAGTAATATGATTTATGGTGAGAAGACCCTGGCAGGTTCCCCTCTTGGTGTGGGGGACTCTGGCAGGTGGGAGACAGACAGATACACAATACAGAGAAAGCTTGGGTATAAAGTTTGTTTAATGGTATTGTAAAGGGTAAGGTGGTTATGGAGGAGAGAGAGAAAGAGAGAGAGAGAGAGAGAGAGAGAGAGAGAGAGAGAGAGAGAGAGAAATAGAGGGAAGGAGAAAGAGAGGAAAGAGAGAGAGAAATAGAGGGAAGGAGAAAGAGAGGAAAGAGGAAGAGGGGAAGGGAGAGGCAAAGGCTGCTTCTTCAGAAGAAGGATTGAGAGAGAAAGGAAGAGGAGGCATGAGATCCACTTGCCTCTGTGAGAAGGGGCAGATTGGAAGTGGGTGGGACTTGTCTCTTAAAGGGA